ACTATAATATTTTTCTGCAATTCTATGAAGTCACATCATCTCAAGGCACCGCAAAGTCACTAAGCTCAGTTTACACTTCCACCAAATATCATAGAAATGAAGAGACCTCAAAATAATTGATGCAAAACCATTGAGGAGCCAAGGGATCACGTAATAGTAATTGTATTTATTCATCGTGTACAGCATGCGACTCCACACAATAGATTGAAATTCCACCACACCGCTTCCTCTCCCTAATGCCATACGTATTTTGCCTCGACTGAAGACACTACAGCTTGACGCATAGTCTCAACTGCAGCATAAGTTCTATGGGCGTGTTTAGTTCTGATTTTTTTTACTGTAGCACTTTCGTTTGTATAGACTATTTAGACTTAAAAGATTCGTCTCATGATTTCTCAGCCAACTATGTAATTAATTTTTTACTCCATGCATATACCACAAGATACTGGGTGAAACTAAACGGGGCCTATATCTCCTCCTCGCCTCTGGCTCCCGTGCCTGGTTGTCTACTATCGTGTAGAGGTGAATGCAAACTAATTGGTACCATGCATGCAGCAGACACCATCAACAAATTCAGGAGTAAGGCTGCACATTCTTCCTCTTCCTCCGTTGCTAGAGAATCAACTCCCTCCTCTACAAATTATATTCCCAAAATTGTAGTCCCGGAATTTCTCCCTTTTTCCAGACCTTAACGGATACGGTTGCTTGCCCGTCTCGATAAATAAATCAAAAAAAATAAAGAAAAAGAAAAAGCCCGTCGATGAGCCCGCTAAGCCCATTGACGGGCTGCCAAGCCCAATGCCACCGCTGCCACCGCCCCGCGCTCGGCGTGCTGCCGCCAACGCCGCTGTCCTCGCCATCCTCGTAGCTTCTTGGATCTGGCATCGGGGGAGCGACCGCCGTGGATTCGCCACCGTGGAGCTCGGGCGGCCTGGATCTGCCGCCGGGGCGCTCGACCGGCATGGATCCGCCGCTGGAGAGCTCGACCGGCCTGGATCCACCGCCGAGGAGCTCGGCCGGCTTGGATCCGCCGCCGGGGCGCGCGGACGGCATGGATCCGCCACCGGGGAGCTTGGACGCCGTGGATCCGCGCCGCCAGGATCCACCGTCGCCCGGGCCACCCGCTGCTGCTGCTCCGCTCGCCACCGTCGCGAGATAGACCGCGCTCGCGACCGGATCCGAGCGAGGGAGGGAGGCCGCTGGAGGAGGCCGAGCCCACGACCGGATCCGCCACCCCTCCCACGACGGGTGGCCGCGCCGCCGCTTTGCCAACACGCACTCGTCGAGCCCCGCCTCTGAGCCATCGTCGCGCCGTGTGAGAAGAGAGGTGAGGGAGAGAAGAGAGAGAGTGAGGCCGGTGAGGGAGAGAAGAGAGAGTGAAGCCGGTGAGGGAAAGGAGAGAGAGGCCGCGCGGCGCTGAGAGGCGCGCGGCGCATGGGGCCGAGCGGCAGGAGGAGCGCACGGCGCTGAGGAAAAGAGTGAGGGAGAGAAGACCGAGAGGGCTAGGGTTTCGACTGATTATATACTATGACCGAGTTTTAGGCCGAGTGGGCTCGGCCCCATTCACTGAGACGGGCCTTCTCCGAAAGCGGTGGTATTTTTAAGGTGGCCACTTATAAGGCTCGCCTCGGTTAAAAGATTTTTAGAGACGGTTATTTTTTAATTGTCTTCGTAAATCGTTATGAGGCGGTTGTTTATGACCGACTCGGTTAATAAAAATGCTGAGAAGAAGAGTGAGGGAGAGAAGGCGGTTTAAATTCTTGCCCGCCTTCGAGCCCCTTTGCAAAATACCTCGGTTAAGATTTTTTAGTAGTGATAGCTACATAATCATCCTCCATTTTCTTCAATTTCTTTCTATATTGAGTTTCTCCTTGCTGTTTCAACGTGACTCCTCACTTATTTCTATACTTCGTTGCAACTATCCAGCCTTTTTAGTTTGCACAAAATTTGATGTTTCATGTTCTATTGATAGAAAAAGTACTAGAGGTTAAAGCACTACTATTTGAATTTTGGGGATGTGCTTATGTTTTCAAATTAAAAAGGGCTTTGCTGTGGTCCACTTACTAAATAGTTTTTACTTATATAGTTTCTTATTACATAGCTTGCTACTTTTAAGAAAGTTCCGCAGCAACGTGCGGGGTATCCTTCTAGTTTTACTAACAACGACGTCGGTCCCGATACTTAGTTGGATGGATTTTCGGACTTGCTAGCGCACGGACGTCCGATCCGGGCACTAGCGTCCAGACGCTGCCCGCACAGGGAGGGAGCGCACCAATAGTGGTCCTGTGCCACCCCGGACGTCGCCCACGCCACCGGCCGTCTCCCACACGCATCCGATGCGCAACACCCGATCTACTTTTGAAACATCCAGATGCAACAGTTGCAGCATACAAAAGAAGATAGATGAAACACTTAAAACAAGCGTCTGAAACACTTGCGAAAAACGCCTGAAAAACAATTGAAAACCATTGCAAACATATGCAACATCCAGATGAAACACTTACAAACATACGTATGAAACACCTGAAAACACTCAAAACATATGCTTGCAACATGCATTATATGCAACATCTAGATCTACTTTTTCAACATCCAGACAAAACACTTGCAACATTCGTCACAAACAGATGAAACATTTGGAACATACACTTGAAACATACATGCATAGCCATTACAACATGTGCAACATCCCGATCTACTTTTACAACATCGATATACAACACCTACAACATACCTCAAAAACATCTGAAACAATTGAAACATACTATTGCAGCATGCGCTTTCAATTTGTTGGCTGCTTGGACGAATGAGGCTCGTCGATGCGGAGATCGACGCCGGCACGGAGCTGGAAGCCACGGAGTGGCACGGAGGTCGCCGGTGTGGAGTTCGGCGGCGGCATGGACCTCGGTAGGGGTAGGAGCAAGCGGATGGAGCACGACCGTGGCAGGAGGTGCGAGTCCGGGAGCGAGTGCCTAGCGCGTCGGGCTAGCCATGCACAACGTGTGCTGGCGGTGGGGTCACGAGCGGGGGCACACGCGGCCGAGGACGGGGTCCGTCCCGCAAGCAGAGCGAGCCCTATAAGAAGCGTTTCCGATCTCTGAACGTTGGACTCAGTTCATCTTCTAAAAGATAAGATACTTGTCTACTTTTAAATTATAATGGCAGTAGTGGGTAATTTTCTAAGAAACAAAATAGACCCAATGGTTATGGTGGTTACATATTTTTGATTTAATGGCCGGATGTTTCTGATTAACGTGAGAATTTCTAGCATTTATCTTTTTTGCTAGCACATCCGGTGAGAATTAACGTGGAGGCTTCGTTGGGCCTCCAATTAGTAATACTAAGATAACATTGTACTCTTCACCAAAGAGACATCTATCACTTCATCCCATCATTTTCACTCGTTCACACTTAACATGTTATCACGCATGCTTCTTCCACTGACACTAAGAAGGAGAAAAAGAGAAGCAGTTCCCCGGAGGACTTGCCGACGACGCTATTGTAGGAGGAATCGGCCTCTACTGCAAGGTACAGGATGATGATTTGGTTGCAATAGCATTGCAATAACCCAGGTGGTTAAGGTGTTTTTGTCCTGTATACATGGGTGGCGATGTAGTCTTAGGATTGATAGCTATTAAGATGCAAAGTTATATGGGTTGTGTGATTTTTGCACAGGTCGGAAATGAGTTTTGAATTGTTGTATGAACTCAATATAATGATCTTGAATTATAAGCAAGTTTAATTTACTTGAGATTGGATGAGACTTGTTTACTCTTGAACTTTCTGCATTTGTTGGAACTAGAGGTTCTGAACGGGTTACTTTAAGAGGAGAGTGAAGGGAGGAAAGGAGAGAATAGGGTTTGGGAGCAAGTGAATCATGAGTAGAAGTGTCTGTCTTGTTCTCATGCCCTTGGGCACTTATGTAGGTGGTGGTGTTGGATTTTACATAACACTACTCTACCAACTACTTATGTCTCTTCCAGGGGAGGCCAAGCCCATATACCTAATGGGTTCCTCCAATAGCTTTCATTCATCAGGAGAAAAAGGAGAGATATATACGAATTGCCAACATGTCTGGATTACACATTTGCACATAAATGTTAAGATTAGAAGTAAAAAAAATCTGAACAGATCATAATTTTATATCAATTTAGAAGAGTTTTAGTTACAAATTGGACTAATGTTTTCCACTGCATATTTCTTTATATGCTTGACAGTTTTGTGAGAAATTCTGCTTGTTTTTATAAAGTTTTAGCATTATTATTCCTTTCAATATCTTTTCTTATTTTTATTTCTCATTTGTCTGTCTGCATTTTAGTGGCATAGGTATCCAAAAAGCATATGACTAGTACAGAGTTCTTTCAACTAACAAAGAGATCTGGGTTCACTCTGCAGCAACAAAAACACACAAGTACAGTCGTTCAAATTAAATTGTAAGAGAAAATAGTTTGTTTGTGTGTTGTACTAATGGTGAGCACAAAGAGAAGACAACGGGATAAAGTATACCTTCAACATTCTTGTGGGTTATCCCCAAGATAAATTGGATATCTCCCTTTTGTATCATGTCTCCAACAACTTAGCAGTTCAATGCAGTTAGGCGTGTCTTCATAGTTCTACAAGGTGACATGACAAGATCAATAATTTTTCTGTTTCCAGGAGATTGCATGCCACAAAAAAGTGAACATAGTGTGACGCTGGTAAGAGGCATTATACTACCTACAATAAACGAACTTTTGCCTGTGGGGGATATCCACCAACCCTGGTTTTAGATTTTCAGTGATAGATTGCCTTATACATGTAATTTTGACCAATATCATGGACCATTCATAGTTCTCAATCTTTGTCACTTACAAACAAACTAATACAATCTTCAAAATGCTTCTGGTTTATTTATTATAATGTAGGACCCAGGAGCATCTAATGTAGGATAGGATCGTTGGCTTAGTACAAGAAGATTCAGAGGCCCATGTTCATAACTTGAACAGTGAGAACTGGAATTTTCAGCGCCTCCTAGCAGCAGTTTCTCTCTGAGCGTTGAAGTAGACAGCAGCTACAGGGAGGCCAAGATCATTTTCCTCAGCGAACTGTCGTGTGATGAAATGGTCCCTGGAGGATGGCACAGCTACAGTTTGCCTGCGCTTCTGCTTGAAGAGAACAAAAATGAACCTGTGGATACCAATGCTAGGTCTTGGGCTCTCATAGCTTATGACTTCTCGCCCTGAAAAATGCATGATTATGAACTCGAAGAACAACTAGAACAAGGAATAGACTAAGCACAAAGCAGAGGAAATACCTACCGAATGAGGCATCTGTTGTCCCAGGTATATCAGTCACGATCCTGCAAATGTAAAGGACGATAACACTTAGCCATAGCATTCTCATTCTAAGCGCTCAGAAAATATGCTGTTTGTATATATGCAAGATGTGGTGCTATTCCTCTGTAACATACTGACATCCCCAAGGTAAGAAATGCCAAATATTACCAGTGAAGGTGCTCCCTTAGATATGGATCACTTGGTCCTGGGACGTCGGGGTCTGTCATAACCTGAAATTTTAGGAACTATGGCGATTAGGGAAGGGATAGTATGTATAGAATACTTGGAGACAAGGATCAAGTATTTAACTACTAACCAATGTGAAGAAAGACCGCAAGTCGCCCCCTTGAACCTCTACTCTTGGTTTAGATACAACTGCTGATGGGTAAATCTCATGGCCATTGAAGACAAGCTTGTTTGAGTTGTAGGTCACTACCATATTCACACATGGGCTAAAGAAGTTGAGAACTTCTCCAATCACCCGAACGACTACAAGAGATTCCACAGATCTAGACATGGTTGGAGGGTCAAGTATTTTATTTTGCACACTGATACTCTTATTGAATGCAGCAAGCTAATGCACTCAACGATGTGGGATGAGCTGCTTATTGGGCATTTGTGGGAGGACAAGCCTCTATTTATAGTGTGGTTTGGATCCTTCTGCCAATTGTAGGATCAGAAGAGGATGTGGGGCATGTGTGTGTTTTTAGTTGGGTATGCTGTGGATGCAGCTAAAAAGGCTACAGGAAAGATGTACCCCTTTTTCCAAGAAAGCCAACAAAGGTGTTTAAATTCTCTAACAGTTACAGATAGAATCTATGCAAGCAATGGTTCATGTAATTTCTTTCAAGTTCTAGGGATAAAGCATTTAGAATGTGCAAAATTGTTCTTTTATTATTGATATGAACGTACTGTAGATATTCTTTCATGACTGAAACAAAATCTTCTAGATCACCATGGAGTCCTCAAGAATACCATTGTACTAGAACATAACACACCCCCAGGAAAGTGGATCAGTAAACATTACGGTGCTAAACTATCTGGTATTGTTGGAAAACATGCTCACCTACCTACATGTAGGGTCTAAATGACAATTCATTCTGCAGGATTTGATACATAATCATGTTATCAAATTGTTCTCATTATCTCCGTACCTTTCAGAAATAGCATGTGAGATATTATGAAAATCATTATTACCATCTGATTTTTGGAGAGCGCACTTCAAGAATTTATTGTTACCTTTTTCCCTTAAAAATGGCATCTCGATGTAACTTTTTGTGCAAGTTTAGAAGTACGGTTTTGTGGAGGTAAATGAAAAATAAGGAGGGACATTTATTTTCATTAACTTGGAGACAAAAAAAAAGGCCACACTGTCAACGTGGAAGCCTTTGTGCTCTGCAGAATATGATGCTTAATCACCTTATCAAATTTATGCATTGGCTCTGCACTTTTTGAAGCAAAAAAAGAACATATGAGCTATTCTGGAAATATATATACTAGCATCTGATTCCTAGTGAACACACTTAAATACCTTATGATGAAAAGAAGAAGAAACATTTAGATGGACTTGTTCGTGGCAAGTTACGAAGTATGGCTTTCTGGAGCTAAATGGGAAAAAAGGAATATGATTCTTTGGAACTATATGCATTGTTTTGGTGAAACTATCAATTGCATTTGCCATGCTTGATTTGATGTTTACTTTGAATTGTTGATATTCTTATCCTCCTATTTTATAATATTTTTGTAAATTATTAATGAGATAAAATGCTGCACTGTCTGCGTGGAAGCCTCTTGACACTCAGGTGTTCATCTTTGCTGGCTTATTTGTTTATTAGGCAAACTTCATTAAGCTGTCTCTTTTTCTGTCAAGGAAAAGGGATGGTCTGAGTTCTATTGCTTTTACAATCTTTGCTCAAACGGTAATAGCATCTGATTTATACTATATCTGTTTATTTTGTTCTTTGGAATACTGTAACAAGTCACTGAAGAGAATAAAGGAACAGAATGCAGTGTCGCCACCACTCCATCATGTATGTGCTGTCTAGTGCTGAGAGGTCAATTTAATTATAAAAAGCTCATAGGTTCCTCTTGATTGAGGCATTAAAATATTTTTATAGATTTCCATAAGTGGTGGAGCCAAATACAGGTTCATGCATTCTTCTGTTATGGTCAAACGCCATCATGCCTGCTTGGCACAATGCACTAGTGGTAGAGATGGAGCCAAGTTCAGTTTGGTGACAATTTTCTGCTCCTGGCCAAATGCCATGATATTTGCTCGACACCTAGCTGGGGTAGTGGTGGAATCTCGTAGCTGTTCCAACCAATGGTAGCAATATTAGCTTGGGGCTTTCTCATCCCTGAATCAAATGGTTTGCATTGATTTTACTAATTACTGATTTCAGTGTTTTTCACATTGCTCCCATCAAGGTTTTTTTTTTTTTTTTGGGGGGGGGGGGGGCGAGGTGATGAAGATTACCAATGTTTTTGTCTACCAATAATATTTGGCCAGTTTCGTACCATATGCATCTTTTGGTCAGTATGTTGTCTGTTGCCTGCTGGCTTGTGAGCAAGCTTCAAACGCAGGCAAGATCACCAATGTTTGCTTCTCCGGTGAGTAATTTTTTGCTAGTAACCTGTACAAAAACAACATGAATGGGCCAGAAAATTTGCTTTATTTTAGACGATGTAATAAAACATAGTAAACTTAAGAAGTTTGTTTTATATAAACACAAACAAAAGGTTGCTTATCAGCATTCAACTTTGTTAGTGAGTTTTATCTCTCTCTAGGGCATAACAGCCATTTTTACTTCAATGCACATGGCGATGTTTCTTGGTTGTTGTCATAAGCTGCTATTTGACAAGTTTGAGGTGCCTCGATAAAAAGGAGCCGTCCACTGAGCATACTGACGGCAGGACCATTGTGGCAACCAACCAACCAACCTGCATCCATACTGACGGGAGGATCATTGTGGGCCAATGCAGGGAGGCAATTATAGATATTCAGATCATGGCATGAAGACTTTGGAAGGAAGAGGTCATGCCCCAAAAGAATCTCCATGGATCAATGTGTCTCCTCCTGGTTGCGTACAAGTCAGTATCCAAGCAAACAAGATATAATACTCTTCAATGTTTTGATTGTGGAGGTTGACAGGGGACTAGTTCCGTGCAGATTTGGTTCATGGATTGGGCAGTCAACGCTATATAATATTTTGATATATCAAATGTCAAATGTTAAGCCCATTTGACGGCAAGCCACAGGTTTAGCAGAGAGCAAGCGTATGTTCATATCTTCAAGCAATCTTTGTGTGTTAAATGCTGACACACTGCAAATTGCATGGAGTCTTTTATGTTCATATCCAATCCTGCAAATAGAGGTTATATTGAAGTTATGCTCGTAAACATCTAATTCATCAAATATACCATTTTAATTTTGAGATATTTTCTAAGTATATGTTAATTATCTTATAGGAGTACTGACTAGGATTCCAAGAACCACCTCGTAGTGTAGTAATGATTCTGTTCAGCTGGTTTATTTTGGTAGCGTATAATAGGGGTGCACTCAAGGGTATATGAGTGTGCTGTGTGTACATACGTTGTCCGTATCAGTAGCCAAAAAGAAATATTTTGTTCAAACTTGAAGAGCATGAGACACCCGTACAAGCATCTCAGTTATAAGACAACCAAGAAGATATCTTTTCAGTTTTGCTACAAGTCCCTCTGAATCGCCTAAACTTAAAAATTGTGGGGAAGCTAATGCTCACTTTGAGTGTTTGAAGCATCTTTGTCGATTCCAGAGAAGTAAGGTTAGGATTTGGGGGCTTCAAAGTTAGTGACCGGAGGCAGCATGGCGCCAGTGGGGTAAAATCGCATGAGACTGTCAATGGCCCAAGGTGGAAGAAGATGCAGATTAAGGCATGCGAAGATTTCCATCCAGCAAATAGAACAATGGGGGTGGTCAGCACTCAAGAAACACTCCGTGTGTGCAGTAGACATGCCCTAAAATTCCACCAGTCGTGATTGATCTCTGTATGCATAATGCAATCTTACAATGTCAAAATAGATCTCTTAAAGCAAGAATACCAGTGTTGTGGGCATTCCCTGAGCACTGAGTCTTTGTCAACAATGAGGTCAACAAGTGCCAATCTGTGACCCAAACGCCAATCCAAAGTGGGCAGATGGATGAATGGGCTCTCTGAGCTGGGATCCCAATCTGTGATCCTATACACGAATCCACAGAAGTGGGCAGATGGATGAATGGCCTCTGATCTGGGATCCAGTTCGGTTGGTTGCAGTACCAACTTGAAAGTCTGAGGTCATTTTGACCAGGTCAGTGCTGTTTCACTATCAATGTGCCCTGACAGGCGACAATGGTCACAGTTTTTGGAGCCTCTGAGCGACCATTGGCATCTAGGATGTGTCACCACTCACCAGTCAGGCAGTCACCACACTAGTCCCTCTCTACTTTGGAGGCTCAGTACTTACAAGTTCACCAGGTCAATATTTTGGTGATCTTTAGAGATTCTTTTCAGTACCCACTGCATTGAAAGCAAATGACGCCTTCATCGGGCAGAGCAGAGATCATGAATGCAGGGTGCAGATTGCAGCTCTGATCATCACCAGAGAGCAAGAGGTCCCCTCTAATTCTCTGAATAATTTACTGAGCTAAGCAACTTCTGATGTCTGATCTCCCAGCGAGGCAGCGATCACCAACAACTCAGAGATGACTAGGACTGTATTACAACTGCATTGCAAATCTTATCTCTTATTCGGAGCAGTGATATCTCGCAATTGCAACCACCCTGCTCAAGACACAAACAGCAACACAAGAGCAAAACCTGTCAGATAAGCCAATTCATGAAAAAAGTTTAAAATCTAGGATCCGGTCAAACTACCTAACTCATTCAGTTCAATGCAATGTATCATCATTATACCATCAGGAGGCAACATCACATCTCCCAGGAGTAGCACCGTAAAGTCAGGCAAACCGTGCCAATCATCCTTGCACTAAAACATGCAAAATTCAATGTGCCCATGTCAGTTGTCACGCACCATGCTTGCATAATAGAAATTTGAAATTTTGCAGATTAGAGCATATATTCAAATTTTTATGCTGCATTTTCAAACTGTGAACATAGATCTGGGTCTAAATAGACCACATCGATATAACATTTACATGTCTAAAATCATCAACAGAATAAAGTTTTTTGAGAAAAAAAAATCATCAGGCTCCTCTTTCCTCCTTTGTATAGATGCCTTTTCTTAGTTTTTCTGGTTGCCAAGTGGCTCTCTCAGCCTCTTGGGTGGTTTTTATTGTGCTTGTTTCCCTGTACAGTTCTTACCCTTTTATATTTATAAAATCTCACAGTGGGGGTGGTTTCCCCTGCTGTATTTTACGCTCAAAAAATAATAAAGCAAAAGATGCAGACACAAATAAATAAGTAAAGCAGTGATGGGAAGCCATCTGTTGCAAGCACATCAGCACTCAGCAATGGAATAAAGGACAGCCAACAATGCATGCTTTACATGCCACTCAAAGCTATATTCACATTTGTCTTCTCTCACCTTAAAGCACCAGATCTGGAGAAAATGGCTCGTAAATTAGTATTTGTTCTGCCAATTGTGTTCCTCAGCTGGGCACTCCGGCAACTCTCTAGTGACCACCTCTGAGTCTCTGAAACGTTGTGGCTCACCAGGTGGGCATCCTCTGACATCTACATCTACCAGGATCAAGCTCAGGGATGGAAAGTTACCTTGTATACAGAGAAGACAGAATACAGAAAGACAAGGCCAGGTACAAGATCCACAGTACATGCATTTGAAGGCACCAAGGACTTTACCCTGCCTGTTTCCAAGGAAAAGCACAGTCACAGAGCACTGGACACTTAAGCGAAATGTTGGTTTCTCTCCATATTTTGCTTACTGGTTTCTTTGCCAATAAAGGAGCTTATGGAGAAATTGGGAATGTACTTAGTTTCTTTTGATAGATCTGAGTATGGAGAAAGTGACCCCAATCCCAGAAGGGATGTCAAGAGCAAAGAACTGGATATCAAGAAGATGGCTGACCAGCTGGATCTTGGGCAGAAGTTATATGTCTTGGGGTCTGGATGGGAGGATACTCTATTTGAGGATGCCTCCAGTATATACCTCACAGGCAAACACATAGATACAACCAAATACATGTTAATGAAATATGCAACTCAGAATTCAGATTTCAGAGTAAAGCTGTATATGCTGCACTAATCGTCCCAACTATCAACTATTGGTGGCTTTCTTTCCCATTTAAAATGTCCAGGCAGACCTTCAAGAAATTAATTGTGCCATAGCAGAGGTCCCTCTGACCTCTGGACTGCAAACAACACACCTTCCATGCTCTACCAGTGGATGACCCAGAGGTGGCTCCCCTCTGCTGCAGGAGCCATGCGCCACCCTGAAATATTTTGCAGGCATGATATGGAAGGTTGTTCTTCAGAAGATGATGGCAATGCCAAAAACTATTGAGGAAAATCACAGCCTCGGATATAAAACATATAATAAAGGTTGTAACACACAAAATAGTAATTCAGAGCTTGTAAATTGAACACGCAATACAAGGATTAGCTTCTTATGTGTTCATGCCGTAGAGACAACAATATACTAACATGAAAGTTACACGAAGAAAAAAAATGAAATATTTGTATTAAAAGTTGACCAAAAGCAATGTTATAACCTAGCCCTTTCTAACATATGTCGACATAACATTGATTTGTATTCCATTTTTTTTTTCAGAATAAATCAAGGCAACAAGGCTTTTGTGAATCAACCCACCATGATTTACTTGTCTTTTGGAAGTTCGGAGTTTGTCCAATGAATATTACCAATCTGTTTAATCAAAATGAGAGTTCTGTACTTCTGTATCAAGAAGCTTCCATTCCATGGATCAAGTATCATGAAGTCCCACAAGGTGGATATATGTCCATGCTGACCAACTGAATTCTCAAGGCACTCTTGGATTGGAGAAGATACCTCAGCTGTTGACAGTAGATCCATTTTCAAAATGCTGAGAACTTCAGCTGCAAACAACTATTTAGTTTTATTTTTTCCCTGAGGTTGTAATCCTACAGCATCAAGACTTGTCTAATTCAAAATATGATAGCTATACTGTCAGCTTAAGCTATTTTTTTACAGCATATATCAAATAATTAAGACAGCACGTGTGTCGTCAGTACTTGTCCCTTACTCTGGTCCAAAATTTATGTCGTCATAGAAAGCATGTAGTAAAAAAATTCAAAATTCAATAATTACTCCCTCCGGTCCAGTTTATAAGGCATTTTGTGTATGTCAACAGTCAAACTTCGTAAACTTTGACCAACATTTTTAACTATTGTAATACAAACTTGATACTGTTAGATTTGTAAGCAAATATACTATCCAAGAATCATAAGTTTATAATCATACACAATATAATATGATATAAATGAATGGTCAAAGTATAATTTAGGAGACCGTGCTATGTCAGACTATGCCTTATAAACCAGACCAGAGGAAGTACTATAAAGGTATTCAATTTTGTGAGATGGAAACATTAACGAGTTATCATGAAAATTACATCAACACCATCATAAATTTACTAGCATTATAGTATAGATATTCAGAAAATCAATGTCAATGGTGTGCATTGAAGACTGTATTAATGACCTAAATAATAAATGAATCCGCCAAGAGGCAAAAAAAAACAGTGAACAAAGTAAAAAATACAAATGGCACTAAGAGGCAATCAAAAGGGTAAATAATTCTAGTACTCTAGGAGCATGACATGATAAGATCATGAAAATCCTCAGTCCATGAGCACTGCAGATCTGACAGGTCAATATATTGTAACATGCCTATGGAAAAATTGGTGAAACAAGAAATCATTTATTACAGAAGATTCTTGGAATGTTCTTACCAAGAGAAATCCTATGTATAACTGAAGAAAGCTCAGTCACAAAAGGCCCACAGCCATTTACTATTTGACATAGTTGGTATAAGGAATTCATGGCGGTCAGGTTTCCAGTACATATTATCAAAAGAAAATAACAAAAGGGCAGAATATCATGAGAGATCTTCATAAACCGGAGTGCGTTCCTGCCACCCAGTTTCCAATTAAAAAACATATCTCCATGAGTATAATGCCAAGCAAAGAAATCTGACACGGTTTAAGCCACAAGAGGAAGACTTGCTTGTGCTCAACTATTCTTTTGGAAAGCACCCAACTGCTTATCTAAAAGATCATGGTTCCAGACTCTTGTTTTTCATCTTTTGATACAGTTGCCCCCCAAACTCCATCTATGATCTCCTGAGCAGCAAGAGGAGATATTTTTGTGCGTAACTATCCTTTTGAAAGCACCAAACAACATAACTCAGAGAACATTGTCTCAAACTCTCTTTTTCTTTCCCTTTTGAAAGGTATTGCCCACAAACACCATATCATCTCCGGACTGAACTCAAGAGTAAAATATGCTTGAAGAAATGAGCAAAGCTAAATAATGGTACACTGATGAAGAGAAGTTTGCAATACATGAGAAAGTTCTTACAGGAAATATCTGTGATGCAAGGCCAGCAGGACAATCTTTCAGAGAGGCCAATCCATTCACCCCAAAACAATATTCTCCAAGTACTCGATTGCATGGTACATGTGGCCTTCATCAAATCCCTTGAACAATGCATTATGTGTGCAATAATCTGGAGGAACACCATTTTGATGCATCTCAAAATACAATCTCATTGCATCTGCCCAGTTACCTTCTCTACGGTTCCCATCTATCAATAAAGTATACGTGTATTTGTTTGGCACTAATCCCCTTTCCAGCATCTCGTGAAAATCATGATAAGCCAACAGAGTTCTGCCTGTCCTGCATAGTGCATGTATGAGCACATTATATGTTATTTCATTAGGTTCAATTCCCGCATCCAGCATCTTCCGGAACCAACCATATGCTGAATAAAGGTTTCCTCTTCTACAACACGTGTGAATTAATATGGTGTACGTCACAACAGAGGGTCGCAAACCATCTGAGACCATGCCATTAAGAAGTTTCCTTGCTTCCCTTAGGAGTCCTCTTTCACAGTGTGCATGAATCAAGAAGGTGTATGTGATACAGTCAGGCTGTAAACCATCACTGACCATCTTCATCTTCAAATCTTCGGCATCTTTCAGGTTACCAGTCTTGCACAGTCCATCGATAATAACATTGTATGTGACCGTATCAGGATATATTCCTTTCAACATCATCACCTCCCTCAACTGGAAAGCCTTAGGAGTATCCCCTAGGGTTAGCTCCGCACAAATCCTTGTATTATAGGTAAAGCAATCTGGCTGCAAACCTTTGCTCAGCATCTCATCAAAGAACTCTCTTGCCATAGGAAGGTTCCTCACCTTATGTGAACCATTCATGAGAATTGTATATGTACAAACATCAGGAAAACACCCCTGCTCTACCATTTCCTCTTTCAATCTCCTAGCTTCCTCTAAATCTCCTAATCTACAATAACCATCTATAAGAGTGTTATATGTCAAAACTGTTGGCGATAAACCTGCACGCCTCAAATCGCCAAGCAACCAAAGCGCCTCCTTCAAATTACCTGCCTTACAATATCCATTTAGCAAAGAATTGTACGTGATAAGGTCTGGCAGTAAGCCCATTGCTCTCATTTCCGCAAATTTCAGCTGCGCAGCCTCTACCTGCTCACTTTTAAGCAGCCCATGAATGATGGCATTGCATGTCACCACTGTAGGCATAATGCCCTCATTCTCCATCTCCATATGCAAAGCTTCAACCTTTTGTACAAAACCCCTTTCAAGCAACGCAGTGATAAGTGGGTTATAGGTAAAGGATGAGGCTTTCTTGGACAGCCGCATGCTGTCAACCAGCTTCGCCGCGTTCTCCAGATGACCTTCCCTGGCCAAAAAACCAATCACCACACTGTACGTGACATCATTCAGCAAGCAACCACCCCCCTGGGTTTCCATCTCCTTGAGCAGCATGGAAGCCTCGTCCTTCCACCCCTCCTTCAGGAAAGAATCCAGCAAAGTGTTGTATGTGACAATGGTCGGCTCAATCCTGAGCTGGAGCATCTCTCCGTATACAGCACGGACGTCGTCCCACCTGGCCGTGTCACGGAGCACGCGCAGCACGCGGTTGCAGTCCCTGACATCAGGGGCCACGCCGTGGCCCGCCACCACGCGTTCCGTCGCGAGCCTCGCGTTCCGTCGAGAACTTGGCGGACAGGCGTAGGAGGAGGCTCAATAGGGAGCGCAGGGCGGGAGAGAGGGGTGCGGAGAGGAGGAGGGACAGGACAGGGAGGAGGAGGCCGAGGCGCAGGGCGCGAAGCGAGACGGGGTAGGCGGCCCGGATGTGGTTGCCGTGGGCAAGCGGGACGAGGACGGCGGCGAACGCGGAGGCGGAGCGGGGGAAGCCGCGCGGGGTGGCCTCCGCCCACCGGAATAGCTGGCGCGCGAGGCCCGGGAGGCCGCGGAGCGCGGCGTGGACGTCGCCCGTGGCGAGCACCTGGCGGAGAGGCTCCGGCGGCGCGGGATCAGAGGCGAGGAGCGCGGCGAATGGGCTCTCCTCGGGCAGCGGAGTAGGAGGTGGCGGTACCAGCGCCGGCAGCGGCAGGGGCAGTGACGCGGAGGAGAAGCGGGGGCTGGAGATAGCTGCGACGGCGGCGGCGGCGGTTACAGGAGCTTGTGATTTGCAGTGTGGGATGTTGAATAGCATGGATTATGGCTCTGGTACCACCCGGCGACGCCTCGCCATGAATGACGGCGCGGCGGCGAGGAGGAGGAATCCGCGGCGCATCCGCCAGATTCCGGCGGCCGTGCGGGGTCGAGGGCGCACGCCCCAAGGCTGCGGCCCCCGACCTGGGGCGGCGGGGGCGCTCGACTGAGATGTCCAAGAAGCGGCGGCGGAGCCGGCGTTGACGGCGGTGAAGCCTAGGAGGCGGCGGCTGGTAAGGGAGACGGCGCCGCGGGTGCGAGAGGGGGGAGGGAGGGATCGGAGGAAAGAAAGGCCACGTGCGCCAGTGAAGGTCTGGCGCTGGCGCCGCCGCGGGCACGCGCGATCTGCACCGTCTATTTTGCATCCTGATTTGATTTGCGCAAGAACATCTGGCCCCCGTGGTAGCCGTGTCCAAGTCCAGCTCCGCTATTGCAAACAGGAGTCCAGGGGGGATTTTTTTTTTAATTTTAACACTTTTTTAAAATAATTTTAAATCTAACACCATCGTTTTTTTTTAACTAACACTTTTGGCCGTACCTATTGCCCTGACGCGGCCAAATGCCTGTGCTGCGCCATGCATGGTGGCGCGGCAGAGAGCTAAGTGACGACGACCGAAATCACTGACCGTTGACGGGGCAGGGTCTGCCGCGCCACCGATCTTGACGCTGTAGCGCCGGGTACCCGGATACCCCTACCGCATGCATGCCTACACACACGGCAATGTAACGTCAAATCAAGTCCAATCCAAACCCGACAATACAACGTCAAATCAAATCCAATCCAAACCCAGTTCCCTTCCCTTCAATTCAAATCATGACAGTGCATTGCTCCCTTCCCTTCTGCGCCCTTCCCTTTCCTTCAAATCACGGCAGTGCAACGTCAAATCAAGTCAAATCATGCTATACACACGGCAGTGCAAAGCTCACTTCCCTTCTGCCCCCGATCTATCCACCTTAATCCGTGTTTTTGTACTACTACTACAAGTAGATTGAGCTATCAATTATTTATTTTTATATTATATTCTAATCAACTTCAAAACTACACGTGGTCACACAGAAATAGTGTAGCCAAACGGATAGACTTGTTGGTTGGACATTGATTTCTTTTTTGCCACATATAAATCTGGATTCGAATATTGGAATACGAATGCAAAACAAATAAAAGTTGGATACATATGGTAGCATCCGGATATCTAATAAAAAATTAAAAGAATATAAATAAATAACTATTTCAATCAAATATAAAACATTCATAAGGAAACTAATACAAAAGTATGGATGCAAAAATATTAGTCAATAGCAAAAAAAACAATAATGAATCAATATATGTAAAATTTAAGAAAAAAATAATAAAATAAGGAATCGATATACGTAAACTTTATAACAACAAATATAAACTAAATCAAGTCAACATTGAAATAAACTTAGTATCTATTGTCAATATTAAATTTTATAGCACTAGTCATTAATCATATGTCATCATACTTTCTAAATAGTTTCATCATATTCATTATCGTTGGATATTTTGGGTTTCTTTAATATGAAACTATAATTGGATAGAGAGAGAAGTTATGTGGAATAAATCGGGACATATCCATTTCAGCATCTATGTATATTCTATACCAAAAACATATGCGAAATATACATATATCTAAATTTAAGATTTGTCGAATATAAATTTATACAAGACGGGTAAACAGCTCGATATCCGTTTCCACCCTAGTACTCTTAAGGACCCCATGGTACTGGCCTACTCGTACTCCCGTACTTGATGCTTCTGGGTGTGAATGAATTTTCTCCTGCGCCTATTCAATCTGTGACCAGCGCGCATGTGCATGCGCCATGTACTACTACGTCCAGCCGAAAACCTGCTGCCTATTGCATGGAAACGGATATCAAGCTCTTTCCGGTTGCCTATTGCATGGAAATTGCTGCCGTCCGGTTGCCTATTGCATGGAAACGACTGCCTTTTAATTGGACGAATATTGAGATATAGATACTAAGTTTATTTCAATGTTGACTTAATTTAGTTTATATTTGTTGTTATAAAGTTTACGTATATCGATTCCTTATTTTATTATTTTTTTCTTAAATTTTACATATATTGATTCATTATTGGTTTTTTTGCTGTTGACTAATATTTTTGCATCCATACTTTTGTATTAGTTTCCTTATGAATGTTTTATATTTGATTGAAATAGTTATTTATTTATATTCTTTTAATTTTTTATTAGATATCCGGATGCTACCATATGTATCCAACTTTTATTTGTTTTGCATTCGTATTCCAATATTCAAATCCAGATTTATATGTGACAAAAAAGAAATCAATGTCCAACCAACAAGTCTATCCGTTTGGCTATACTATTTGTGTCTGACCGTGTGTAGTTTTGAAGTTGATTAGAATATAATATAAAAATAAATAATTGATAGCTCAATCTACTTGTAGTAGTAGTACAAAAACACAGATTAAGTTGGATAGATCGGGGCAGAAGGGAAGGGAGCTATGCACTGCCGTGTGTATAGCATGATTTGACTTGATTTGACGTTGCACTGCCATGATTTAAAGGGAAGGGAAGGGCGCAGAAGGGAAGGGAGCTATGCACTGCCATGATTTGAATGGAAGGGAAGGGAGCTGGGTTTGGATTGGACTTGATTTGACGTTGCATTGCCGTGTGTAGGCATGCATACGGCAGGGTATCCGGCGCTGCCGCGCCATGGATCAGGGCGCGCGCGCTAAGATCGGTGGCGCGGCAGGCCCTGCCTCGTCAGCGGTCAGCGATTTCGATCGTCGCCACGTCAGTCCTCTGCCACGCCACCATGCATGGCGCGGCATAGGCATTTGGCCGCGCCAAGATAATAGGCGCGATCAAAAGTATTAGTTTTAAAAAAACCGATGGTGTTAGATTTAAAATTAGTTTTCAAAAAGCGTTAAAATTAAAAAAAATCTCCAGGGGGCGGATGTGACGATATGCATAATACAATTAACCCAAATCAAGGAGACAAGCACCGAGTATGCGGCATTGCATTGGAACATGGATAATCGAGGTTTCAACTTTCAAAGCTCATGCACGACGGACTCCAAATATTCTTGAGTCTTTTCCCTGTGTACCATTAAAAAAGATGGCTTTTTTCTACAGGCCACTAAAAAGTTCGGACTTACCTAGGTGCCATGACACTTTATTTCTTTGCCCCCCAAGCCATTCCGTCCATTTTCGCTGGTAACGGTGTGTAACGGCGAGAAGAAAAGACCGAAGTGCCCTCAGGGAGGATGAGTGAAATTGCCGTTTGCCCTGTGTGCCACTCCCTGACCAAGCGTTTGAGCACCAAGACGGCTGACCAAGTGTATTTTCCATGGCAAATGCATGCTTTTTTGGTGTAAGCTTCCTTGGAGACACGACACGAGCACGGTCATGCCGGTCGTCAAGCAGATTTGAGTTGGGAAGCTACGCCTACGCGGCGGCCTTGGCCGGCAGTATCACGATTGGGCTCCGGACGACGTGCTCGCTCGACACCCACTTCAGGTTCCCCTCGGCGCCGCCACGGCCGGCGGCCCGTTCCACCGCCTTTATCACGGTGAAGCTCGCTTCGTTCACCCCGGTGAACCGCAGCATCGGGGCCGCACCACCACGGACACGCCCTTCGGCATGTCCACCACGGCCGCGGTAGACGAGTTGGTCTTCCCGAGGTTGGTCACGGTCGGCGGCGGACGGTGATCGGATGGGACAAAGCGGCTTCACCACCAAATGACGGGTAGTTGAGCTCCACGTCGGTGATGGCCTTCGACTTAAGCGCGGTGATGCGGCGCCCGTTATCTCCTTCACGCCGTCGTCCCGATGCCCCGGTCCGCAGAGGTAGGCGACGTACTCGCCGGCCGCCGAGGTCGCATTACCAGCCCCGGGTCGACGGCGCGGGGCGGGTTCACGTGCCCGGTGCCCATCTTTGTAAGCTTCGCCGCCACGGCATCGCTTTCGTCCTTGATCGGCACGCCGCGTGGTTCCGCCGTGTTCGACGAAGTCATGATCGCCGACTTGATCGTCGCGGAGGACCAGGCTTCGGTGCGAGCTCTTGATGATGGCTGCGATGCGCTCAGTCGCGGCGTCGACATCGACGTCCGGACTCCATGAAGAAGGTGAGGCTCACGTCGTCCGCGAACTACGGGTGCATCTCGGCCGGGCGCGCCACGCCGCCCGGGATGTTCATGCGGGCCCGGTGATGTCCGGCTTCAGGATGCTCGGGCCCGCTTTGTTCGCCCGGCGACGAGAAGAAGGCCACGGACGGCGCCGGGGCGAGCCCATCACCGTGCTCGGAACATGATGGTCGCCGTGGGGCTTGGGCGTCGACTTGACGTGCGCCGCGATCTTCGACCCCACCTGCGTAGCTCACGCGGTAACGCCAAAGAAGACGCGTCGCTGGCGTCGGCGAAGGTGGTGTACCCTTCCGCCACCTTGTTCATCGAGATCATGCCGGCGCCGCCAGTCGCGACACCATCTGCCCTTGCTCGACGTGCTTTCGGTGATGGAGCGGCTCTCGCACATCACCACCTTGCCCCTCACCTCGTCCTCCACCGGCCAGCGTCACCGCGCATCGCGAGCCTCCGGTCGCCGTTGCGGCCCGGGAAGACAAAGCGGCGGCGGGCGCCCAGCAGTGTTGTTCCGGTCGGAACAATGACTTCGCCGTCAAACTCCCCGCCCGTCTGCGAGCCTCGAACGTTTGGTCAGGGAGTGGCACACAGGGCAAACGGTAATTTCACTCATCCTCCCTAGATTGAGGGCACTTCGGTCTTTTCTCCTCACCGTTACACACTGTTACCAGTAAAAATGGACGGAATGGCTTGAGGGGTAAAGAAATAAAGTGTCATGGTGTCTAGGTAAGTCCGAACTTTTTAGTGGCCTGTAGGAAAATGCCATCTTTTTTAATGGTACACAAGGAAAAGGCTCAATATTCTTGCAGTTTATATAAGGTCTGGCTAGCTAACCCCCAACGAGGCTCTAGGAGTCA